CGGCCGCTCGAAGGAAGTCGGTGAGTGGAAAAACAAGCTTCTACCTGATGAAGTCGTGTCGATTTTTCTTTTTTTTTTTTTTTTTCTCTCCAGCCTCGTTGCACAGAGTAATTTAACTGTGTTTGTGAAACGGAATTCCAATTATTTTCCTGTTGAATTATTGCAAACGAGCATCAGATACTGCAGTTGTGTGTGGTGTGTGTGGGGGGGGGAGGATAATCGTAGTGAGTGAATTAGCAAGCATAGTCTCGTCTTTCCAATTTTCTCTTGACAAGGTCAAGCAAAGGAGAGAGAGAGAGAGTGAAAGGAGGAAGTAGACTGGTGGTGAAGAGAAGAAAGAATAAGTGGGGAAAGGCAGGAAGGATGAATATGAGCACTGGGCACCAAAGAAAGCAGCTGAGCTAACTGTAGGATGAACCTGCGCTCACCCTCTGAGGTGTAAATGTTAATGTAGCACAATGACAAGTGAAAGGCCAAGGATTTAACCTGCAATCCTGGAGGCTCATTTTTACAGTCATTGCATTTTGCAAAAGAATGTCTCCTCTCTCAATGCAATAGGTTTTTGCAGCTACCTCCCGCCCAACTCGCAGAGAGAAGAAGAAAAAGAGTGGGAAGAACACAAGCGAGACAGGTGAGTGTGTACAATAACATTGTGAGCGTCATCAGTGATGTGGTCATACCAGAAAGACTCTTGACTTTTCACAAAGGTTTGGTCAACAGCTGCCATCACATGTGATGGTTGAATCAGAGATGTGTCCCACCTTTGATGTTTCCAACTTACTGGAACATAAACGTGAATAAGTAAATAGCTTGCTCACTGGGGAATATTTCCAAATATTACAGAGTGTTTCAGATGTTTTTGCTGTTGGTTCATTTTTTCTCTTGTTCTGTTGTCTCTTTGTTAAATAGTTTCAACAATTATTGTGGTAGGAAGGAAGGGAGGGAGGAAAGGAAGGAGGAAGAAAGGAAGGAAGGGATTGAAGGAAAGAAGGGAAGGACAAAGGGAAGACAAGGAAGAGGGAAGAGGAAAAGGAAGAAGAGGAAGAAAGGAAGAAGTAAAAAAAACTAAGGAAGAATAAAAGGAAGGAAAAAGGACGGAGAAAAGTAAAGAAAGAAAGAACAAAAGAAAGAAAGAGAAAGAAAGAAAGAAAGAAGAGGCAGAGGATTTGGATGGGTAAAAGGGAAAAGAAGGAAGAAAGGAAAGGAGTTTAAAGAAATAACTAGAAGAGGGGAAGGGAAGAAAGACAAATTCAAGGAATAGAGGAATGTAAAAAAGAGAGACAAGAAGAAAAAGTAATAGAATGAAGGAAAGGAAGAAAGACTGAATTCAAGGAAGGAAGGAATTAAAGACATAAGTAAAAGAGAAGAAAGAATAGAAGGAAGAAGGAAAGGAGGAAGGCGGCAGGCAGGAGGAAGGAAGGGAATCAAGGAAAGGAAGGAAGGAAGAAGAGAGGAAGGAAGGAAGGAAGGGTTGCAAAAGACTCTAAGAAGAAAAGATAGAAGGAGGAAGAGATGGGAAAAGAGCACGGAGCTATCAGCAGAATAAACCTGTGCAGTGACTGCTGGATATCATAATGACAAAAACAATGGTAGAGTGCCCTCCTCCCCCAGTTCTCTCAGTCTCTCGCCTGACTCGGGGGAGCGGGGCTTAAATGTGTTGCTCTAATACCCAGCTGGATGAGGGGGGGGCGCCAATAAGAAGAAACAAGAAAATGAGCCTCGTCACAATTGCTGAGCATCCCTGCACTGCCCCGGCTCCTGTTTTCCCACTCTCTCA